CTTAGCACAAGATCCTGGACCAGACTCTATGGCTGTTTTGAGCTGAATTGCTGTTGTCACATCATTGCCCTCGTTTACATATCTTCCAATGACTCCTTTAATAGTCGCTGCTTGGCGGTCGCATATTCCTTTTCCACCTTGAGGATCGGAAAAGTCGTTCCGTTCCACGCCCACGCCAGCAAAAAAAAAATATATTCCTATTCCAGTGCGGCTACTTTTCACAGCTCTTGCTAAGTGACCCGAAACAACTTCCTGTATGGTGCAAAAATTAATACTTTTGAACATGATGTATTACTCAGTAAGTGACACAGACATAATAGGAAAAAAAATCCGAGTGCTTCATGGGACAAACATCCTGCATACTGCTAGGATTGGAATGTCATGTGTGGCATACGCGCAATGGAATAAATGTGATGGAATATTTTTAAGCCTGGTGAATAAATGAGAATGATGTATTATTCAGTAAGTGACACAGACGTACTCGGGAAAAAAGAAATCCGAGTGCTCTCGGCCATCAGGAGTCGAAACTATCGACATCGTGTCAGGTTATGCCTAAGTGACACGATGAGACGGTACGGGTAGTCATCTCCAATAAACTCGTTGGCTTTTAAAAACACGCAATCTTGCTAAAATCAATTCTGGTTCAAGTCCGGAGAGTTTTTTAGGACTTCGTGCGATGTTTTATATCCTTGTTACACAGCGTGAGCAGTGTGACGAAAGCTGAGTAAGGGTAGAAATTAGCCATTGGAAGTTACTTAGCAAGTGCGTTCGTCTGCGCCGCAAATCCCACCGACAATATTCAAGAACGAGCAAGACGTCGTTGTTATGTATGTCTATTAACTTCGCCAACAACATACTCTGGTTATATGGTTAAGTAGATTTGTTTATTTAGAGAACGATGCAATATTTGCTTTTCGTGGAAACAGTTACTTCCGATTGGTTTTCGACGGCACAAAACTTCTCATACTAAATAAAATCAATTCTAATTGAGCTAGAATTACTATTAAGGTTTCCTTTTTTTTTCAGCAAGTTAACTGGGAAACCTGGCACATCTTTGAGTAAGATATTTTAAAAATACGACTTATTTAAAATCAACGGATGTAAATATCTGTTTGTTACTGTTCTAGTTGTAGCTAAGTCGCTCGTGCGTGACGCAGATTAGGGAGCGAGCCTGTCAAATTTAATTTCAGCTCCTGGTAATTTTGGTGTTTCATAGTTTGTTTTACCTGTGTAGACAATATTTAACATTAATATATATTTTTAAAACGCTTCAAACCGCTAAAAAAGCAAAACCCTTGTGTTTTATGTACAAACTTTGGCCGAGGAGTTAATTTATTCAATAGTGCTTTGTTATGTAGAGTTGTAGATTTCAAAGGCGCTCAATTGGAATTTTATCGAATTTGATCGGCGTTCATGCAAAAGCGCTACTAGATCCTAAAGATTTAAAACCGTAGACCTAAAAATCAATGACTGAACTGTCTCTGGTTATAATATCAGAAGATTTGAAGAACTACCGGTCAGCTTTTTTCGTCGCTGAGTTTGGATTACTTTACACCTTCGCGTAAATGAGAAAAGTGTGTCTTCTTAATCGGGTCTCAGTTCGCTCACAAATAAGCAGAGATAAAAATAATTCCCATGGTTTGACTAAGGAAGAATCAATGTATTCAATTATACTTAAAAAGATTCACAGCTATGTAAACGTCTGTGTAGCGAGAAGCTGAAAAGTGTAAAATTTCGAGTTTCCGCCAGGTGAAATCCGAGCTTCCGGTAGGGTGACCGTTTTTCGTGGTTTTCTGCCGTTATATGGAATATTTCAAAAAACTAACCTCATATCCTTCAGTTACTCACCTAGGCCTTCAAACTGACAAAGTATGAGCGCAATCGATTTTTTGACCGTGGCCACGTTTTTTGAATTTTCCTTGATTTTTACTGACATTTACTCTTAATTAGATCAATAGTGATTTGGTAAAACTTTTTACAGTAGAAATCAACGGTAAAACAGAACGTTTCGACCAAACTTCGATCATTTTCAAGCGAATGGTAAGAATGTAACGATGAATATATATATGCGTGTAAGAAATGTAAAATTTTTGGATGTGTAAACGGACACTAAGAACCCCACAAAAAGAAGAAATAATCAGAAGCTAATTAAAAACAAATAAAAGTTAAAAACCTAATTAAAAAAGACTAATTAAAAATCTAATTAAAAACTAGAATCTAACTTAAAACTTAATTGGGTCTTTTTAATTAGGGTTTTAATTTTTATTTGTTTTTAATAAGCTTCTGATTATTTCTTCTTTTTGTAGGGTTCTTATTGTCCGTTTACACGTCCAAAAATTTTACATTTCTTACGCGCATATATATATTCATTGTTACATTCTTACCATTCGCTTGAAAATGACCGAAGTTTGGTCGAAACGTCATGTTTTACCGTTGATTTTTATTGTAAAAAGATTTAGTAGATCGATTTATTTTAAAAATTATAGTTGAAATCTATAATTGCAGGTGTCGATGTATTTAGTTAGGAGAGTTTATTTATAATAAAGATTAGAAAGTGAGAATCACTCTGTGATCATTCTGTTTGTCAAACTTTCCATTTAGCTTACGCCTGCAACTGACTTAGTTTTCGTCCTTTGATAACATTGTATGCTTGTCAATCACTGAAGGACAAGACCGAAATGACATAGTCTGGGCTCTTGGGGCGTTAGACAGGACTTAAGGCAAAATTATTAATTCATCCACGAGTCTTATCGATTGGCCTCAATCTGAAAGAGATTCCACTGTGAAAACTTACTTCAATTGTATCAAATTGATCAGAAAGGTCTTCCGGGGAAAAATTCAAGCTCCCTTTTCAACCATTAAAAGCTACAAAACGTCCAAATGAGGTTTTAAAATTTTATAACCACCATTGGCGCAATCTTGTTAGCCCTAGATTTCCATCATGACAAAATCGAGTACCGTTTTTTCGTTAGTTGTTAACAAATTGAATATCTCAGTGACAGGTTTTAAGGCATTACTTTTTGAGGGTTTGAGGAGATACGTTGATTGCTGGTTCAATTTAAGATAAAACAAATAAGGCATCTTTGTGTAAAAATTTCCACGAAAGATATTTATCAACCTACAGGTTAACAAAGGCAAAAAATTGCAAAGGTCACTAGCATCAGAATCGAAGTCAATTGGTTATTCCATTAGACTGGGTGTTATAAGATGCCTTACAATCTCTTCCCTGTTACCTGTAGGCATATCTTTTGTTTCAAGCAGTCCATTTTCGCCTTACCATGACAGCATGGGATATCAAGAAAAATTGAGAGAAAGTGAATCATGAGATCCATTAAGATGCCATAAATTCCTAAGTGGTTTATGTGAGGATGGTAGCTGACTTAGTCAAGATTAGGACGAAAAGATTTTGGGGTCAAAGGATTCTGGGGTCAGAGGATTTTGGGGATCATCTGATTTTCAGGTGGAACGGAAGGGGGGGTCAGTCACTGCCAACAGAGTGTTGAACTGTTTAGGTTAACTAGCTTCAGCAACTCGCGTAAAGGGAGGCACCAGAAGTCTGTTCAGGAGCTTCATTTATCTCTCTGAGACTCTGTCTCTCCTCTAATAGTTCAGCCCTGGGTACATACTCTCAAATACCCTATCGGTTGGCATCTTATGGGACAGATAACCGTGGCAGAGTAAACATATTTTTAGAACGCTCACCAAAACAATCTCACAAGACATTCGAAATAAACAACAAAGTACCTAAAAACAAACTCCTTGATTTGGATACGTTGATTCCTTAATCTTGAGGTATTTAAGATTCAGAAAATATGTAAGACATGGTTTGATGCTACTCTGGTTTGCAGATTTAATGAATGTAACCGAAGAAGTTTCAATTCATAGACCCAACCTTTCGACACTCCTATCTAGTGCCTTCATCAGGGGTGATCTAAACGCTGCAACAAGAGGTCCTTTTATATGATCACTAATAAGCGGTCTTTTTTTTCTGACGAGGTGTTAATAGGCGTCAGGAAGCAAACCGCCATCGTCACGATTTAAAGGAGCGTGGGCGGAGTTAATATGCCAAGCCTCCAAACAAAGGCGCTGGTGGTAACACCGGTTAGTGGTGATAATTTTAGAATTATCCCACCTACTAAAGGCAAATGGCTATACAAAAACCTTTTTCCGTGACTGCCAAAAACCAGTTACCACTAGTAACGCTCTAACATACAATTGGGTGGGATAATTCTAAAATTATCACCACTAACCGGTGTTACCACCAGCGCCTTTGTTTGGAGGCTTGGCATCAACCGGCTCGCGAACATCAGAGTTCGCATTACTAAGTATCGCTGTCATTAGTATTTCAAGCACCGTTGTAAAGAAAACTATGTGCTTCCATCGAGTTTGAGATTTCGGCCTCCTTTACGGAGTGCCAGAGGATACAAGCTCATGGTCCGAGCTGGTTTTTCTATTCTTAAGCTACGAATAGATGAATGTCAAAGTTTCATACTGCGTTTGCGTGCGTTATTCTCTCGTTCACTCAGTGAACTCTCTGCTTTGATTAACAACTCCGAAACTTCTTAGGTCGAGGAGTTCTGCAGTTCGAAAGAACTACAGACGTTTACCAAACAGAGAGAGAATCACGACAGAAAATTCCGTCATTTGCTCAGTAAGAGGTCTCCTGTTAATTCAGGCTCATCTCTGAAAGATAAATGGGTCATGAACCATTCCTCCAAGGAGTTATCCGCGCTGGAACGGAGTGGTTTAGAGAAGGGTCGGAAGTTTGCTATTGCTCCTCGCAAAATACCGACTGCCGAAATTGTCGCCGCCGTTGAGGAGAGTATCTCTCAACCCAACGACGACCATAGGCATTTGGTAAGAGCAGAAGTAAGCAGCATACTCAGGCGAGCTAAACCTCCTCCCAAAAAACATACAAAAGGATGTTTTCAATGCGCTTATAGCTCTTAAAAAAGGATCCGGACAGGCTCGTATTATCTGCTGACAAGGGTAATTGTGTAATGGTTATGGACAAACAGCAATATCACGACAAAGCTTTGTCTCTGCTTAATGACAAGAGTACGTATGCTGCCTTAACCTCTGATCCTACCAGTAAAACTCAAAAAAAGTTAAACAAAATGTTGCTTGATTTGAAAAAAGCTGGTAAAATTAGTGACTCTACGTACAAAATGTTCTACAGTAGTGACGGCTTATGTCCACGTTTTTATGGCTTACCTAAAATTCATAAACCGGGAATTTCTTTGAGACCCATTGTCTCTTTTGTGGTTATCTTGCGAGAATTTTGTCGCCTGTTGTTGGGAATACTGATTACACTGTCAAAAATTCCTGCGAATTTTCGGATTTTATAAGAGATAAAACTCTTAACGCTTGTGAAGAACTAGTATCTTTCGACGTTGTTTCGCTCTTCACTAAAATCCCAGTTGAACCTGCTGTTAAGGTTGCGGAGGAGAGACTCAGAGAAGATGCCTCCCTAGGACTAAGAACTTCTTTGCCTGTGGAGGATATTATTCCTCTACTGACTTTTTGCCTCAAAACCACGCAATTTACATATAACGGCACCTACTATCAACAAGCTTTTGGTACAGCGATGGGTTCGCCTATCTCTACTGTCATTGCTAACATGGTAATGGAAGACGTGGAACAAAGGGCCTAAGCCACTTCACCGGTTAAACCCTTTTTCTGGAAATGATATGTCGATGATGTTATATCTGCGGTATCCGGAAATGAAGCGGAGTACCTCCTGTCACATTTGAATTCAGTAGAGCCTTCGACCCAATTCACCCTTGAGCGTGAAAAGGATAGACATTTGCCTTTTCTTGATTTCAATGTGTCCAGAGGGGTTCAGGGTAATTTAGAGACAAGTGTCTACCGTAAACCTACTCACACCGACAAATACCTCGCTTTCGATTCTCACCACGCTATTTGCCATAAAAAGTCTGCAGCCAAAACTTTACTTAGGAGGGCTGACTGTCTACCATCTTCAGTTGATTCGAAGGCTGAGGAGAGGAAATATGTTTCTAATGTCCTAAAGGCAAATGGCTATACAAAAACCTTTTTCCGTGACTGCCAAAAACCAGTTACAATTAGTAACGCTCTTGATGAAAGGGAACCAGCTACTGGTTTTGCTGTTATTCCTTGCATTCAAGGTGTTACCGAACCCATCAAGAGAATTTTAAATAGCCACAACGTTAAAGTTGCTAAAAAACCTTTTCAGACTTTGGGGCATATTTTCGCCAAACCTAAGGATCCTGTCACGAAAGAACAACGAACCGACGCCATTTATTCTACTCCATACAATGACTGTGACCTCGAATACATCGGACAGACCAAACGTCAGTTTGGTACACGTTTAAAAGAGCATCAAAAAGCGGTTTTCTTTTGCAAAAAGGAAAATTCTGCTTTATCAGAGTACACATGTCTAACCAACCATACAATTGGGTGGGATAGTTCTAAAATTATTACCACTAACCGGTGTTACCACCAGCGCCTTTGTTTGGAGGCTTGGCATATTAACTCCGCCCACGTTCCTCTAAATCGTGAGGATGGCGGTTTGCTTCCTGACGCCTATTTACACCTCGTCAGAAAAAATACCGCTAATTAGTGATCATATAAAAGGACCTCTTGTTGCAGCGTTTAGATCACCCCTGATGAAGGCACTAGACAGGAGTGTCGAAACGTTGGGTCTATGAACTGAAACTTCTTCGGTTACATTCATTAAATCTGCAAACCAGAGTAGCATCAAACCATGTCTGACCACCTGCCGTGTGAACTTTGATATATTTTAAATATGTAAGAGTTTTTGTAAGTAGTTGGAGTGAGGATATGGGGTCCAAGAGCTTCATATTTCGGATAAAAACATATTAATTAGTGGCCTATTTGTCAGCTGAAAATGTTCGGTTGCTAATTTTTTTTCCGAGAAGAAGCTAAAACATTTGTAAAAATATTTCTCTTAAAGATATTTATTGACTTACAGGTTGACTTGGGAAAAAAATTTCCAAGGTCACCAGCAGTAGATTCAAAATCAACTGGTTATTCAATCAGACTGGGTGTCATAAGATACTTTAAAAGTTCTTCTCTATTTCCTGTAGGTATTCACATCTTTTGTTTCAAGCAGCCCTTTTAGCTTTGAAGAGAGGTTTTTTTCTATACGATGACAACATTGGATGTCAAAAAAAAAATTGAGACAAAGTGAACCATGAGATCCATTAAGATGCCATGAGTTCCTATGTGGTAATTGTGACGAGATAAATTATGTAATGTATTCTGCCACAAAAATCTTAAAGCTTATAAGAACACAACAGTGAAGAGATCACACAGTTAAGCAGTCAAGATAACCCTATACAGTTGTACCCCTTTGTGACGATACGGTGAAGATGAACTTTCTTGGTTTCGCTTTCCCCTTGGCGTTGCTTGTAGCAGTTGAGCTAACCACTTTAACATGGGCTGCAACGAATGTGACAAAAACCTCAGGAAAAGGTAAAAAAGTGTTCCTTTTATGTCGAATCTCTTCAGCACACGCATACTGTATTCATTGGATTAAGCGTTGCTCCTGCATAAGCCATCTGAAACTGTAACTCAAACGCGAGCGGGCGTGCAAAGTTTGTCTAAGGCACCCTTGAAACTTATTTTACGGCGGAAATTTTTTTTTCAGTCTCAAACGCTACAGTTCTTCAGTAGACACACCTTTAAGAGCGGTAGTTACTTTTAAATTTTTGCAAACAACGATTCCGATAGTAGATCTAAACATAAACCTTCACATATGGATGTTTGATCGACAAATTTTGAACTATGTACTTCTAGAAAAAATTAAACTTTGAGATACACTATTTGTTACCTGCTGAAAACAATTTACAGTAGCACAAAAGAAATTGTGATGGACTTTAATTTTTATCTCACGGAAGTTTTTTCCTAGAGAAGTTTAGCGAGCAAATCGTTACATCTTTAGTACAAAAAGAGAACTGAGATGTTTGGTGTACGCTCGATGGGCCGATCAAGCGACTAATTGAAAATTGACTTTCGTTTCGAGTTTTCGTCTCTTTTCTTTTTTTAACTTTGTGAGGATGGCAGATGACCTAGCGAAGGTTAGATAAACGTTGGCTAAACTGCGCTAGGTTACGCTAGTCTTCAAAGAAGTTTACACGGCAAGTCAGTCCTCCAAAGAATTCAAAGAAATAGAGAGCTTCCTTCCTCAAACTCTACGGTCAGTTTTCAATTTTGGTCATCATGGCTGATGAAATATGTTTCAAAGATTTTTTCAAATTTCTCCTAACCGGAACAATACGCCATTAATTCTGCATTAGGAAGCAACCAACATTTATCACATGGGGGGAGAGGGGGGAATGGAAGGAGGATTTTAGGGGGCCAAAGTATTTTTTAGGGGGGTTCATATGGTTTTCAAGAGAACGAAATGGGGATCGGTCGTTGTTTTACAGAGTATAAAAGGAAAACTACAGGAAATTGATTGTAGATGAGTGGGCATCATTAGAATACTACAACAACCCTCCTCCCATCCCCTCACTCCCCTTTTTTTCCCAAGCGATAAAAGACAAATAACCGGTTCATTGATTTGTATACGAAAATTTAATTGTTGTAGAGCTCATAGAGCTAACATGAAAATTACAAATAATCCTAAACTGCATTTCTTTGAAGAATGTTTTACGGAAAGACAGACATTCCTACTCGAGGTCTAATTTTGTTCAGCAAAACAATTTTAAAAAACTTTTTTTCGGAAAAATTTAAAATGAAAATTACATATGGTCCTAAACTGCATTTCTTTAAAGAACGTTTTACAGAAAAACAGATATTCTCACTCGAGCTCTAATTTTGTTCAGCAAAACAATTAAAAAAAGCTGATTTATCAAAGATTGAAATGTTAACTTTCATCATTACCCTAGAGTGAGAATTGAATGGAAGAATAACACACGGAACCGTGTGGAGGTAGTCGTCATCTTCTTTCGAATGAATAATCTCTATAAAGGATAAAATTTATGAAATATAGCATAATTTTGAGGAACATTTGATAATATGAATAAAAAGGCAAATTTTTCTTGCGTCAAAGATTACGATGAGCAAGGAGAACACCTTGGTGAACAACCAGTACGTCGCGTAGTACCAGCGTGCGATCTTGACTCCTTCTCATTGGGTGATAAAAAACCAACTTTTCCAGAGCAGCCAGGTGTCACCCTTCCCCTCTGCCCAGACAATCAATATGCCATTTTCTATAATAATAATTGGGGAATTGCACAGTACACACTCTACAAGATTACCGCCGCACAAGCCTTGGAAGCCAAGACAAACCCTGTACCAAGACCTAATGACCCATGGCAACAGGATAACACGCCAGGTAAGTTAATCAGTGTTACTGTTTTAATTTGCTTTTTTAATGAAGAAATTTAGGAAAAAAATTAATTCGTTTGTCATTCCACTACTACAACGTCTGTTCGTCGTGTTGTTTTGGTCTTTCACGCACTCCTAATGCGATCGATAAGATGCTGAGATGAGGTTATGCGAGTATTTCGTGAACTTAAAGTTAAAACACTCGAAAACGGGTGTATATACATATATATACGTGTACGTGTTCTTATATATAGATGGATGGATCAATATTAGGTAGATATGATATACATTTACATTATGCATCATAACGCCATTTTACCACATTAAGGCAACGCGTACGGTGCACGCAAAACATGCGACGGTATTACACTGCAGGTAAAATGGAGCAAAAATACGAATGGAAAGAGGAGAGACTTGCGAGAAGAGTCGTGCATGATGGGTAAATCATTTTAAGCAAACAATTTCCTTGACTTATCTGAGATAATTCGCTTTAACATTTTGCAACCGTGATTGGGAGGGTGAAAACTTTATTTACCTAGCAGATCGATAGAGAACAAAATTTCTTGGCTTGTGACTGACATCAGCGTACTTTAAAACTCTCTCATTATCAGGGATTCGTCAAGGAAGCAGTGCATTGTATCAAAACCAACCTTTCCCAGGTAGATACCACAAAGGTCACCTCGTTCCCGTTAACATCTTACGTTACAGTGATGAAAGTGTTCTTGCCACTTTCACCTACACTAACTGCGTGCCACAAATTGGGAATTTCAACTCAGGTCAGTGGTTAAAGTACGAACTAAAAATAGGGATATATGCCCAGGACTACTGTGCTCCAAAAGGCGGAACTCTTTACCTGATCACTGGAACATCACAGGTTAAGTTTAATGAGAAACTTAATCTTCAAGGCGAAATAATCAGGGTGGATAAGTCGGTGAAACCAATGGAGGGGTTCCATGGCAACGTGGATGTACACCAAAAGATCGCAATTCCAAACTCAATGTGGACGGTGGGC